ACACACAGTGCCTTCACGACATGGTGGCGGTGGCAACAACAATACTACAGCGAGAATATAAGTTACGCCTTCTTTCTTTGCGTGAACGTTTGGGCGGCGTTATGCAAATCTTCCGAGATCGTGACGTAGGTATGTGGGGGTGTGTTAGAACGAGCCGTTTTAGGTAGGCGTGGCTGACTCTTAACTTTTATAAAGAATATCTCTTTGGATTTGAGACTTTAGTCTTTGCAACTTTACAGATCTTCTTTATGCACCAAGAGCTTGTAACACTCCAAAGAGAAAGGAAAAATTGAAATCGCATCATATGACCCCTTTAAAGAGTAAATTATAAAAAAAGATCATATAAAATAACGGAAAGAGAAAATCTCCACAATAAATACATGAGCAAATACTAAGTTATTTGCGTTTTTTATTCAGATAGTATTTAGTTAGAAAACACTGCCTGATTCAACATAATATCTACAGAAAGTAAGGTTTAGTTTATTAGAATTATTTACTTATGCAATCTGAAACTGTAATCTGTGAATCCAATAAGCACGTTCACCACAAAATGTGTAAGACGCAAATGTCAAAATCCTAAACACCGAAAAGCGTCACGCAGCAGGGAAGCGTCCAGTGCGTCGCGTCGCGTCGCAGTGTGGATGGGTTTGCCAGTCAGGTGATCGGTCCGCCATTTTGTCAGCCATTTCCTACCCTGGTCCGCTGCAGATCAGCGCTTACAGAAAGAGCGAAAGCCCTCCTGCACAGGCCGCTGTTCGGGACTGAATGAGAGACTAGCGCTCCAGCGGGCCGGTCAGTGCTCACATAAAGCCTGTGTTTGCGGTTCGGTCCGGTAGGACAGGGGGGAAATCATCATGGCTCTGAAGATCGTGAAGGGAAGCATCGATCGGATGTTCGATAAAAACCTGCAGGATTTAGTACGTGGCATTAGGAACCATAAGGAAGATGAGGTGAGGCACTTTATCCGTTTATTTCCATTTACTTGCCTCTGCCTCAGGATCGGATGTTTTTGTACATTTGCAGTAAACGCAGCTGGTATAAATGAATCAAGCTGATCTCGTGTCAGTGATCTCAAATCACCTGAGTTCAGGTGAGCTAACCGGCTATAACCTGCCTAGATAACAAGCAATTGTTTTTAACACAATAAAATATTATTTCAGTGCTTTCTTAGCGTTTGTGTGGCAGCTGTTAGTGTTGTAAGAACAGTCTGTCATCGTTTTGTTTATCATGGATGAGGCCAGTTAGCATCGCTAACGGTTAAGACACTTATATAAATACATTCTGCAAAGTGAATACAGATTTGATCCCATCCTGGTTTTGATACAAACCGTGTAATTATAAATGTAATAAACAGACTGGGTGTGCTAAAGAACAGATGTCAATTATTCTTCTTCTTCTTTGGTGTTTTATTGGCGGTTGGCAAACCAGCTTATAGGTCCCAGATGTCAATTCAAAATAGCTGGTCTCACTTATGTGTGTCATGAGATTGGCCATGTCTTAACACCTAGTGAGCTGCCTATCTAAACAGCATTTTCTGGGCATGTCCGAACGCTTTTATGATGTTCAATTCGAAGATTCGAACGTGCATGATGACGCAAGCGATGCTCAAAAATGTTCGATTCGAATGTTCGAATACTGTGATGTTGACAGATGTTCCATTCGACTGTTCGAACGCACCGGTAATGCCGATAAATTTCTATTTCAAACCTTCCAGTGCACCTGCGATGTTAAAATGTTGGTTAAAATGGTCGAACATTTATATTATACACAAAATGCTCTGGGCGAACATTTAAACTTGCATTCGTTTTGAACATTCTGATGTGCTTATGATGCTCAGTTCAGGTCTTCAAATATGTTTGATGCCCAAAATGTTCGAACATTTATCTAAATCCCAAAAACTTTATTTAAAATTTATGAAGAGGCATTCAAAATTCTCAAAAATGTTCAATTCGAATGCACTCATGATGCCAAAAGATTTAACTGTTCGAACGTGTCTGTGATGCCAATAAATGTTCAATTCAAGCGATCAAATCCACCTACGATGCACAAAATGTCCGGTTCAAATGTTTGCACTTGCATATGTGGGCGATTTGAACGTTTTGGTGTGCTTATGATGCCCAGAAATGTTTGATTCAAGTGTTCAAATGCATATATGATTCCCAGAAACGTTTAACTCAAATATGTGAACGCACACGATGCCCAAAAACATATGGTTCAGGTGTTCGAACAGGTTTGAATTCAGCGCCGAATTCAGACATCTCTGTGAAACTCACTTAAAGAGTTATTTAGTATCATTTTGGCAGAAAAAGTTTTAGAATTTTTATATATTAATGTTAAAAATCTTGTGTAATATAACTTGTGTTTGTTTGTTTGCTGGTTTTTATTGTATTTGTTATACTTGAATTTTTTTATTTTTTTTGCCATGAAAATAGCCTTAGATGCTGACATGGCATTAAATAAATATATACTACTACTACTACTACTACTACTTCTACTACTAGACATCTCTGTGATACCCAGAAAAGAAGTTATGGAGACACAGCCGTCATGTTGGCTGTGAAATCACAACTGCAGTTTGAACACAGTGTCGGGGATGAGAATCGCTGGTTTCTTGTGATTTCATTTTGTGATGTGTGGTTGAAATGATGAATGAAATGTGGAAACATTTGTAGGCCTCAGGCTGCCTGGTTACCTATAATGACAAGGCTGAATTTTCTCTTCCAATATGCTCCATCCTCGCCCCCTCCCTTTGAAAAAGGGAACAAGATGCTGTAACAGTGAGCATTTATAATCACAAACAGGGTTTCCCCACTTTTATGGCATCAGAATACTGTTCCCTTTTTAGGAGATTCATATTGGCAAAAAAACAGCACCATGATCACATCTACAAAAAAAATCACTCTTTATATTGGCTATTAAACTATTCATGCTCATTTCCACTATTTGTACATTTCGGTTACTTTAAGTTAATCTTTAAAAATACTAATAATTTAATAACACGGTTAAATGTAATCTTTAACAAATCCTAAAATGAATCATTTAAAAAAGTTGTGATGGCCAAATTCACTTGGAACATTTAAAATTATTTATTTATTTAGTCTTTTGTATTTATTATTTTTATTAAATTTTTTTCTGATGAATTGGTATAGAATTTTACTATTTGCCATTTATACATTGTCAGACATAATATTAAAATAATTATCAAATTATCTGTGTTGGCCAAAATGTAAATAGCTGTGCCGGTTTTGGCATTATTAACTAAAATATGAATTATTAAAACATTTGTGTTAATTCCAATAAACCTGAAATAAAATATAATTATTAGTTGGAAAAAAAATAGAAATGTTGCCTTTGCAACTAGTGTAAGTTGTAAGATGAAGTACTAAAATTACTAACTGAAAACTAGAACTGAATTAAAACTAAATTTTGTTTTATTTTTGAAAAACAAACAATTACAAAAAAAGCTAAAATAAAAACTGAAAATATATATAAAATATTTCTAAAAACTTAAGTAGTTTATAAATAATACTCATATACATATCAATAATAACGTTCTCTGCACTACTTTTATAATCGCTTCTTCGTTTTTATCGAGTACTAGTTGCAGCTCTACTTTGTAAACACTCCAAAAGTTGCTCAAAGTTTAATCCAGTTGTTTCATTTTGCATAAATACTTGGCTTCTCATTACAGTGACTTCATACTACAATCTTGATTCAGGTCTGACTGGTTTTGCTCTGTTTGGTCGCCTGCTTTCATTATAGTTCAATATCAAACAGAGTTTAAGTTGCACCTTTTGTGCATTCAGACTCAAACATCCTTAAAACGCGCTTTATTATCTGCTTTAACGTTCCCGTTCTGGTATCCTGGCCTGTTTAATCTGCAAACATCTGGAGTCAGGTATCAGCAAGGCTTGGTCAGTGTAACCTGTACCGGCGTACTAGATAATCGTGTCTGTTACCTGGCCAACAGCGGACAGTGCTGTGAAATATTCATAGGCATCTGAATGAACTATCAGACTGTGCGTGTGTGTGTTCGCTGCTCTGTTTGCTCTCTGCCAGTGGTTTCGTGTGAGACCTCTATATTTGTTTTCCACAAGAGGTGGGTGTACTTATCCAAAGCACTGGCTGGGGCTCAAAACTAGTGAGCTGCCTACCTAAACACTATTTTTGGACATCGTAGTTGCATTTGAAACACACAATTTTGGAGTTGAATCATTTTGGGGCATTGTAGGTGCCTAATTTTGCAGTTGTCAATTGTTTGCTGGTTTGTGTTTGAAAAGAAGGAAGGAATTAAGTTTTTTCTCCAGACTGTGCTCTCTTGTTTGCTTGGGAATGACATTGAGTTCGTCTTCATACTTCAGTGACTGTTTGCTGAGCTGGTCAAATCCAACTCTTGGCTAACTAACAAATATTTCAGTCACGGCAGTGGGCTGAAATTACCCATAATGCACGATTCTTTGGAGCTGAATGAGGATTGAACATTCTATTGCCACATGTTTCATTCTTAAAGGGATTAAATTACCCATAATGCATCATTTATGACGATTTCGACAGGGAAACCTTCCGGACAACTGTTTTACCTCTGGAGTTTCATTTTTACTGGGTTGAAATTAATCTTAAAGGTAGTGCTGGGCGGTATACCGGTTCATACCGAATACCGGTGTTTATTTTTGTTATGATATGAATTTTGAAAATACCGCAATACCGGTGTATGTCGCTTAAACAACGTTCGGAACGCGACACTGTTTGAAACTGAGCGCGTTCTCAACAGCCGGCGCGTGACGCGTCATCATCTTCTTCTTGCTTTACGGCGGATCGCAGACTTATAAGTGCATTACCGCCACCTATAATGCATCATTCATAAGAACTACATGAAGATTTGACTCAAACCTAAAGAACTGTCTTTAGCTTCAGTCTCATTAAGTGGGAATTACCCATAATGCATCATTCATAAGAACTGCATGAAGATATGACAGGAAAACCTTCTTTTCTATCATATTTTTACTTTGCTAAGTGGAAATCACCCATAGTGCACCATTCACAAGAATTTTGTAAAGACGTGAAAGTTGTATTTTGTATCTTGTATTTTCAGTTTCTCTAGACTTAGATTACCCATAATTCATCGATCACAAGGGTTTTGTAAAGCTGTTTATGGAAAATCTTCTGGAGGACCTTCTTTTACCCCATGTTTTCAGCCTCAATGGGTGGACGTTACCCTTAATGCATTATTCATAAGAGCTGCAAGAAGATTTTATAGGAGAACCTTCGTTTACCTCATATTTTTTCCCATAATGCACCATTCACAAAGTTTCCAGATGTGACAGGAAAACCTTCTGGAGAATCTTTGTTTATCCCATATTTTCAATCTCACTGGGAAGAAGTTCTAGGCCTAATACACCATTTATAAAAATTTTGTAAAGATGTGAAAAGAACCTTATGGAAACCTTTGTTTACCTTGCTTTTTAGTCTCTAGGAAAACATTCTTAAAACCCTTTGTTTGCCTTGTTTTTTTCAGTCTCTGGTCTTAAATTACCCATGATGCATCATTCACAAGGACTTGTAAAGATGTGACTGTAAAAACTTCTGGAGAACCTTCATTTACCTCACTTTTACTTGATGGAAATCACCCATAATGCACCATTCACAAGAATTTTCTTTTGAAAACCTTTGTTTGCATTGTTTTTTTTAGTCTCTCTGGGCTTAAATTACCCATAATGCGTCATTCACAAGGGTTTTGCAAAGATGTGGGCTGGAAAATCTTCTGGAGAACCTTCATTGACCTTGTTTTTCAGTTTTCTCTGGGCTTTCTCTTGGTTAGTTCACCCAAAAATGAAAATTGGCTTGTGTTTTACTCACCCTCCAAGCATCTTAGGTGTAAATGACTTTCTTCTTTCAGACGAATCCAGTCGGAGTTATATAAAAAATAGTCCTGGCTTTTTCCAGGTCTATCATTGCAGTCAGCGGGTGTTGCAGTTGAACAGTCCACAAGTCGTCAAATAAAGCGCGCGCATTCATAATAAAACG